ATGTAAGAAACTTCATTTGAAAGCAAAAAGGATGGCTGTAGCTTCAAGCTTTGGTAAGGGAAGCCTTACACCTGCCTTATTTTTAATGACCAGCGGTGGATGATTCACAGTTTCATATAAGTCTTTGTTTGTGATTTGTGACAATACAAATGAAAACATAAAGTTCATCTTCCACATCATGATATTCTAAGAGGCACATATGAGGATTAAGGAGGGTGAAGGAATGCTTTCAAATATCATGTAACAGTTTCCTTGGTAGAAAACTGTGCAGACTGTCATGAATGTGTATTATGTAAACACTTTTTTAAACACAGAAAACCTTCACCAAAGTCTTTGTTTCATACTTTACATAAAGCATGGTTGCTGAGGCAACAGTAAAATTAGACTGCAATGGAAAGGAGAAGTTTGAAATGACATTTGCCTTCACATTTGAAATTCAAAATAGCCTTATCGAGTACAGGATCAGGGGATAATGTCGAAACACACTTCTACAAACACACCATGTTCATTTCTGTTTCCTCTCTGAAAGTTAAAACCATCATTACCATTCTGTATCTTTTTATTGCAAAACCACAGTTATGTGCTTGCTCTTACTATTTAGAGTTAGAGAAACAGCCATACTACTTTTTGACTTATCCTCCATTAAATCAGTGAGCACATTCTTAACAGCTATCTATGACCTGGTGATTAGATTTACAAAAAAGAATTGTTGAGATAATGGGTAGAGAAATGCTACCTATACAACTGAGATTTAAACAGTATTTTATGAGAAAAGTGACTTACAGTAAATGAGATGGGAGAAAATTAAAGGAGTTTTAGCAGTTCCACATTATTGAGTGCCAGTGACGTTCTGGTGTTAGTGATTTTTTTTAAATAAGACTAAATGAGACCCACAAATGATGGAGTTCTGTGCCAGATGGCCTGGCCTCCACAGTCACCTGATCTACATCTAAGCAAAATGGTTTGGGATGAGATGGACCCCAGAGTGATGATAAAGGGCCAACAAGTGCTCAGCATCTAGGAAAGCATCTCTTACAGGTGATTATATCATGAAGCTCATCGAGAGAATGCCAAGAGTGGGCAAAGCAGTAATCAAAGCAAAGGGCTATTTTGAAGAATCTAAAATATGAAATATGTTTTGAATTCTTTTACACTTTTCTGTTTTACTACATGATTCCATATTTGTTTATTCATAGTTTTGATGCCTTCAATGAGAATCTACAATGTAAATAGTCATAAAAATAAAGTAGAATTGTGAAATGAGAAGCTGATTCCAAACTTTTGACTGGTGGTGCATGAGTCGGAAAATCCTTCATTTCCTTGCAGTACACATAGAGGTTTGTATTTTCTTCACTTCTCTTCAGCTTCTGCACTCTCTTCTAATTTCACTGATTCAATGGGAAGGATTTCTAACATCTATTTTGAGGGTCCATATTATCAAGAGATGGTCATGACATGGACAAATAAGAGAAAAGGCTAGAAATGTAGCTGCTAAGTTAAGTTTCGGATAGGCTAAGAGTAAAAACAAGGTATCCCAGCTGTCATCAGAAGAGCAATTAACATGTTGCCCTAAATGATTTTAATTATGATTACGAAATTTGTTGGCAGTATAATTAGAAGAAAGATCAAAGTCACCTACAAACCGAACAAACCAAACTTGTTAAGTTCAATAAAAAGGAATAAAGGTTGATTTGAGATCTCATGTTTGAATTCAGAAAGCCCCCACACCCTCTAGCAGATCATTACATGAAGGAACCTTTTAAAAACAAGCGCGTCCATGCTCACAGGTGTACACACGGGAAATCACACACACAAACTACACCCTTTTTGGCTCCTACCTCAAAGCACACTGTGCGCTGTCGATATTACGTGCTGCACAATAATGTTTAATATTTAGTATTTACTGTTATATTCCCATAGATCATTGTGATGTTGTTTATTATGTTGCTCTTTTTTTTCTTCTGATTGTTTTCTCTTTTTTCTTTCTCAACAGGTGATCCAGGTGATCGATATATGTATTTTTGTCTGCTTATTTTGTTGTTTTTTGTTTTTTGCCCTTAATCCCCGTCCCTCTTCTCCGCTGTTTTTCTTTCCCTTTCTTTCTCCCCTTTCTTTTCCCCAGTCAAGTCTGTCCCATATTTAACAAGTAAAAATAACATAAAATTAATAATAAAAGGTGAATCAAATAGACCATTACGGGAAGGCTGGGATGGTCCATTTGGTAAAGTAAATCCGTTGGGCATCTTTCTTCACCTTTAGACAATAATTCTGATGGCAAAAGAGCCAAAC